TTTTAACCACTGCGCCACGAGGCTCTTATGGTTTTCCTTGAAATGGGAGGTTGGATTTTGAAAACCAAGCCAGCTTCATGGAAAGGTCAATAGCCTACAACTATTCAAGTGCAGAGAGAGAGGGTCCCATTTTGATTTGGGGCAACATAGGCAATATTGCTGCTATCATGATTAGTGGTTTGAAGGAAAAACAGTTTGGTTCAGAAAAGAATCTCGGTAACATCAGTAATCAAATCGAGGCCTGCACAATACTTCTGGAAGAGCTATCTATGTGCCCGCTCTCTCATTTTGACATTTCTTGCCTGTATGTTATTTTGCTGCACTGATGGGCAGACTATAGCAAGACATGAAGAACAGAAAAAACAGACGTCAAGAGAACAACTCTGGAAAGCTGTTCTGTCTCTTTAGTTGCAGAGAGCTGAAAAAGGGTGACTTGGATCTAGCCGAAGAGACTTGTGCAGTGTGCTTAGAGACATACAGGACAAGAGAGGTAGTGCACATTTTAACTTGCAGACACGTCTTCCACAAAAATGCATTGACTGTTGACTGCTAACGTGTGGGATCTGTCCCATTTGCAACCATGCTGTTATCCAAAAGAACTGAGAAAGGTCCAATACCTTATCTTTTAGAAAACTCAACAACTCACTCACCTTGTGGCGCAGTGGTTAAACCGCAGTACTGCAGCCAAAAAATGTGCTCACAGCCTGGGGTTCAATCCCAGGTAGCCAGCTCAAGGTTGACTCAGCCTTCTATCCTTCCGAGGCTGGTAAAATGAGTACCCAGCTTGCTGGGGGGGGGGGGAAAGGGTAGCCTGCATAATTAACTTGTAAACCGCCCAGAGAGTGCTTGAAAGGCTATGGGGCGGTACATAAGCAGGACACTTTGCTTTGCTTTACTTTGTTGGAATCTTAGGCAAAAATATTCCCTTCACTAGACAGATGAAGTATGAATTTTCTTTGTTCGAGATTACAACCATTCAGGAACATTAATTAAAGGTTTAAATGTATGGTAAGCAACTCCCAAACCTAAAACTTGTTATTGTTATTGAGAAGTGTTGCTAGATTTAGGCTTTTGCCATATGCGTGTGGGTAAGAACAATATAAATTAAGCTCCTTAGTTCTGAAAATATTTCCTATACATGTACAAGTCATCCTGTTTTCACAGAGGCTTGGTTCTGTTTGGTTAAGAAACGGATCAGTTCATGATGAGTTTTTTGTTACCTGGCGCTTGAAGGATTTGACCTCTGAGAACATAATATATAAATTATATTTGCAGAAGTTGTGATTTAATTAATGCTTTTGTTCTTTGTTGATCGTGTTGATGGTTTTATTGCATGTTGTTATTCATTTTGTCTTTTAGAGTTAGGATTTTAATAGTGGTTTATAGTGGTTCTTAGCTGTCTTAGGTTCTGTGATGGGGAGGGTGGGTTCTATAGAATATAACACTGGTAGTGCTGTCCATGCTGGTGGTGTTGAACAAGGTTCTTGTCCAGAGCAAAATGTTGATCCCGCAGTACATGGGTGTGGATTTTGATTGTCTCCCTATAATCACTGATATCTGTAGTCACTGGAGGGTAGAAATAAGATGGAACTCAAATTAATAAAAGAGGCATGAGCTTCAGTCTTGTTCCTTAATCACAACAACAGCAAAACCAAAACTTATCAGAGCTTGGAATGATATATACTTAAATAACATGTTGATGTTTCAAAGTATGATATTAATTGTTGCTTGAAGACTGATAGATTACCATTTTTCTTCTGTAGTTTTTTAATTGTTGGCTATAGAACAGTGTACTTTAAAATTGACCAGAATCCCTCAAATGATTCTCCTAAATCTTTTAGAAATGGCAAGTAAATGTTACTTTTTGCACAGGGGAGAAATACCGTATCTTTCTGTGTATAAAACAAGACTTTTTGCTAAAATAGTTGCTGCAAAAATTGAGTGTTGTCTTATACATGGAAGTATGCTGAATCAGCAGCCACTTGCGGGGCTCACCTCAAGTTCACGCTGTCGCCTTGTCGCCTGCCTGAAGGGAGCCCGCGAGTGGCGCTGGAAGAGGCTATCAGGCGGCCACAGCTGCAGTCAATGGGCAGCTATGAAGGGCAGCCGAGCATGGCTGTTCCTTCGCCTCCGGCTGCTGCAAGGGTCTAAATTGGGGTTATACATTGTTATGCATTGGGGGGGCTTATGCATGGAAAAATATGGTAAGCATTACTTGTTATGTTGCAAGAATGAATGACATCAGCAGCCTTTATGTGACTGCATAAAAATAATGTTCTCACATCCATGTTGTCCTCAAAATAGCCTCTTACAGGTAACATGTGACAAGTAACATGCTGCTTCCAAGCTTTAAGCTTTCTAGAGACCAGCAATGTGGGCTAATAAAAACAACAACACAAAGCGCATACTTCTTTTGAAGCATAACTAATGGTTTGGGACCTCACTGCTTGTTGGGGTGTGTTTCCCTAGGAATATGAGCCTGTGCCACCTGATCCTTTCAGGTAATGATCTTATGGGTTGCCACACCAAAAGTGGCCAGAGAGGGTTCTACATGAAACCAGGGCTTCTTCAGTAGATTGTCACCTGACCCCCTCCCATCCAGCATTTAAAAGGATGCTCAAAACTAGACTATTTGAAGAGGACTTTAAAGGTGTCCTGTTTTAATGCTTTGCTATATTTATCTTATCATCCCGTCATCATCTGGGTTTGTTTACTACAGTATTATGCTTAAATATACTGATTTTCGTTATTGATTAATCTGATTATTTGTTTTTATTTTGATGGTTTGTTTTGTTATATAATTTTACTTTGTGCTTTGATGTATACTGCCCAGAGTAATGCCCAATACTAATTGGGTGGCATACAAGCTTATGAAATAAATAAATAATTAATGTGCTGAACGATCTGTGTAGTACTCCTGCTCGTATATTTAAAATGTGCCTTGCAGGATGCATCAGACCAAAGTCTGCCTTGCACAGAATTGTTTTCAGAAATCAGCACAACAGACGAGGGTGGAATAGTCTGCAAGAAATGGTTTGCTGATGAGTATTTCACCCTGCTCCTGATATATTAGAACTCCATGAATCCTGGAGCATACTTTTCATAGTAGTTTTAGGAAGTCTGTTGTTTGTGTATTGTATGAAAATGTGGTCAAGTGAAATGGCAGCCATAGAAATCCGGCACGGTGTACTCTTTTTTATAAGTTGAGTTTGACTGCTAAAACAGCTCATTCCAAAAGGAACATCATCCTAATCCCGTTGAAAACAGATAAAAAAGGCAAGGGGGAAATGTACTCTACCAGCTCAGCACACAAATGCATGGTGGAAGACTGTATACTTGGAACAATACAACCAAATCTTATGTGTACAGACACAGTAGGCAAGGATCTCACCCCTGGGGTAGAAAGGCATCCTTCCTAACCTGGCAGTTAACTTTATAGTTCTGAAGGAATAGAAAGTGTCTCTCCACCATTCTGGAGCTGATGCACATGGCACCCTCCCCCACCTAAGGAATCTTGTGCCAGAGCAGGGAAGAACACTGGGAAGGGAGAGGTAATTGGCATCTCTAAAAATATCTCTAATCTTTAATTTCTAGAAAGAGAATAAGGCAAAATGTGATTAGGAATATTTTCTTTTAAATCTCAAATAAATTTTAACTGTACCAAATTCAGCACAATAGCACATGTCCTTGGCTTCTCTATCTTCTTGCTGAATATGTTGATGGAACAGTCAAGAGAAGGAGGAGACAGTCAAAACATATGGCTCCTCTTTTTCAGATTCAGTTCTGCTGAACCTGCTTGCCTTACATTATATTCACACTGTTAGTGGAAGACCATCATAAAAACATTAAAAACAAGTTTCCTCTTCATTTTGAATGTTCATCAAATGGTGACTATTTTTTAAATTATCGGAGATACCCAGTAATCAAACATAATTTTGTAAATTCATGTTGCAGTTTTACACACTTTTACCTGGGAATAAACACAATGGGAATTTCTTCTTAGTAGACATGTGTAAGACTGAGTTGTTGATTTTTGAATTGTTCTGATTTTTAATAGCTATCTGGTCTAATAAGATACAGTACACTGTTAAAGGGTTTGCATTGGGATTTCTCCTAAAGCAAAATAAAGTCATACAACTATTTCTCCTTCTGAATGTTTTGTGCCTTATACTGTTACTGAGTTCTCTCTTTCCAAAGCTGGATCTGAATTTAAAAGGTATTCTCTATAAGGAGGGTGGTGAACTTTTCAATGTCTGGATCTCTTATGCTTCACATGACAGAAGTCTCAGCCACAATTTCTCACACCTGCTCCTGTAGCATTGTTTCTTATTCTTAAGAAAAATGAATTAAAATAAGGAATAATCAATACATCTTTTTCTGTGCATAACTTGAAATGCAGAACTAGCCCACAAAGTTTGTTTTCTCCTTTTACAAAGCATCCAAGGATTTTAAAAGAAACTAAGTGGTCAGCATTAAATACTGTCATTTTTATGAGCCCTACTCATCCATTAGCCATCACCTCTTTTGGCTACAGTGTTTTAAAACCACCCAGATAGTGTTTTCAGCACTATGAGGTGGTATATAAGCAGCATGCTTTGCTCCCTTCACTGCTCCCTTGCTTTTTTTAAAATAAACCTCTTCTGCCAGCATATAGGTTCTGTTTATATATAGGAG